GATATGATTGGTAAGTGTTAAAACTGATTACATCCTTCAATACCACAACAGCGGGAGAGGATTAATAAGTATAAATTATGGCAGCCTATTTGTAATAATCTTATTCTGTAAATAATCCTGTGTCTAACTTTTAGGTAACGAGACGACACTGTTGGTTTGATGATTTGCTTCCACTTCTGATTTATAAGCAATTAGGCCTTGGTCTCCGGCGCCTTAGCACCAAGTGTTTTCTGAACAGACCTGGTGTATAACATGCATTAACCCCCAAAATGAGTCCAGATTTAAGATTTCCATTTAAAAAAAAGTCAGATTTGTTTTTACTGTAATCCATGCAATCCAATCATCCAACACGACCTCACATTGAGTGAAAAGAAAAAGAAAACAAAAAAACTGAGTATTTGCACACACACACAGTACCGTGACTGCAGGCATGGATGGACTGGGAATCCAGGGCTGCTGGCCAGCCTCAATCATTACTCATACAGCTCGTAAATCTCGAGAAATTAATAACCGTTTTCTCAGATAATTATCTCGTTATCTCGAGAAAACAATTAATGGTTAAACCGTGATAAGAAGATAGTGATGTCGTTATTTCCAGAAGGCAAAGGGGAAAAAAAATTCGAGTACGGCAGCTCTCGGCTTCCATAGTTTTTTATTGAATAATTGCATTACATTTCCACAAAATGGCTGACATTAAATCTGAAAGTTATATTTTTCTAGTTAAATTTTTATTCTAACAAATTAGAAGTTATATGCTTTTTATACACTGCTCTACAATTAGCATACCAACTTTAACTTAACAACTTACAAATGATAGAAATCAAGATTGATGCAATAGAAAGCATCAGCACTCTCAACCAATCAAGTGTAAGTAAAAGTGTTCTGTAAAACTTCATATAATAGAGATTAAGCAACCTGGCCTGAGGATGGGTTTACTGGAATGGGCTCTATCGGTTTTAATGTCTAGAGACTGAAGCATCAGGAGTTTACAAAAAAAGATACATACGATAATGTCTTCTCAGTGTCCTTGCTATTCACTTAAATCTATTGTCATAGTGCTAATTTACAACAAGTCCTTTAGAGTCACTGGATAGATTCATTAAAGATTTATTTTCTAAGAAAACCCAGCAAACTGCAGAGAGGCATTGGCTTTGTAATAATTGATTCCTCCTGGATGAGCATGCATCCACAGTGGAGATGCTTGAATGCTCTATGGACTGTGGTTATTCATATGTAACAACTCAAAAAATTTGTATTTCTAGTGTCCTTTTTTTTATTGTGTTAGAGTCCTATTTAACCAAAGCACTTTCTTTAAGAAAACAAATCCCTTTCATGTCCTATATTACCATATTCTGCTCACTTCACAGTCATGTACTACTAAGATTACAGCTGAGCCATCCCGCTATGGACACAAACTGTTTCCGACTTTCCCCTTTGGGAGGAGATGTGGTCCACGAGGACCAGAGCATCCCACTACAAAAAGAGCTTCTTCCCATCTGCTACTAGACTGGATCCTCTTCCCCTGAGACCTTTCCCACTGGTGAAAAAAAAAATATATAAATATATATATACAGTGTATATATATATATATATATATATATATATATATATATATAGTACATCTCATCACATGTTTAAAGATATAATATGCAATCTAATTCTACACTATTGTTGTTTAATAACTTGTTGTGGGGCTCTTCATTATCCAACTTGCATACTGTATGAATACTTGTATATGTAGCACCTCAACAATAAAACTAATTTCTTGGACATGTAAAAAGCTATTGGCAAAAAAAACACATTTTGATTATTATTTTTTAGCACAGGATTCTGATTCTGTTGGTTTACTTAAAATTCTGGATTAAAAAAAAACTCTAGACTTTGAGATCACTGACAAAATGAGCTGAGTAGTTTTGCACAGCAGTGTTTGTTTATCACCAGTCAGCAGTTTTAATTAAGACAACACGTATCCCCCTCTGAATACATTTATTTATGATTGTTCTTCTCTCAGCTAATAGGGTCAGTGAAAAAGTTCAATTTTAGGCCCTTTTTACTGATTCATTCACAAGACTCTTCCAGGTATTACAGCTGAAACAAATATCGTACTGTTGTGCTTATTAATGTCTAATGTTGTCTGTTAGGAGCCCTCAGCATGTTAACAACATTACAGTTCCCACAGAAAAACTGATCATGTTCAGGTAGAGAAGTTAAAGGATCAGGGTTGAAGATTTGAAATGCACATTACAGGACAGTTTATCATTAACTAAGAATTTGACCTTAAAATCAAGTTTCCCTTCCCTTCCTTTTCAGTCTTTTCCCTTGAAATCAAGGAACCTTTACCTCAGGTCAACAACTGACATTATTTTTATCCTGACAGAGCAGGAAGTCACATTATTTTCTACTGACTCATCCAATTTTAGGGCAAAAACACTCCTACAAAAGACACGACAAACAGAGTAGCTCTTACAGAGTTAAGACAATCATATATTTGATTGCAATTTTTAATCATGTTTGTTTTCAATTGAGATTGTGCAGATTTGCTTCTCTGGTGTTCTTACTTTTACCCTTAAATTTGTGAAAATGCATTTAAAGCATTAGACCTTTGCCAAACCAAAGACAACAATACATGTTCAGCTAAAAAAATTATATTTATTACAGTTTTTATGTGCTTAAGAAAAAAAATAACTTCCTTGACAGATTTCCAAGGAAGTTCCAGCACATAGTTCTAAAACAGTGAAGATATTTCCATCAGTTTTTTGAATGCTCTTGCCAGTAATAGTAAGAGATATGGAGTTATTCAACTATAACAGCTTCTGGTATTTCCCGAAACATGCCAGATATTGAGACTTGTTCACACTTGTTTCGTTGAACTTTGCCTGTGCTTTGTACAATTTGTCAAAACAGTAAAATCTGACATATTTATTAAAACCTGAAGTTTCTGTCTTGGTCAGTTAATAAACATGCTGCTGTCATTTTTTGCACATCTCTGGAGCCGCTGCTATTTTTTTTTACATATCTATTACTGTAAAAATGTCCACAGCTGTTATGGATTTTTTATTCTCCAGATACAGAGTATTACACTGTACAAACACCGTACAGTACAATACTCTGTTTCTTTTATTTTCCTATCTGTTTTTTTTTTTTTTTCGTTTCTAAGTTGCACATTGTGTGACCACTTCTACTATAACCTTCTACTGCAGTAAAAACCACTATTTCCCCATTGTGGGACTATAAAAGGATGTTCTATTCTATTCTATTCCATTGTAATTTTGATACACTGATTGCATATGATTTATATGAAACAGATTTTTTAATTTGTCTAAAATATCTGCTTCCACATATTTTGATAAAATTATGTATTTCTGAAGGGGTCAAATAAATGATCTGGTGCCCCTTTTCCACTTTCCCCCACCTGCTCAGTTTCTCTCCTGTTCGACTCACTCTGCTTCACTTGGAAGCTTTTGGCTTGAAGTCCCGCCTCCCACCATAATTGCAGGGGAATTAATTTCTCAGACATTTTTCTTTTCTACATGTACTACTGGATAGATGTGTGTATAGTGGTGTTTTTTTTTTTTTTATATTTCTGAGATTTATTTATAAGTATTAGCAGCTGATCTTTGTCTTAATAAATAAAACACAATCAGCCTGTTTGTAATTTAGAACATTTACTAAATGTTTTCTTTTTCATCAACCCTCAGGCATGCTTTTTTCATTTCTAAATGGTAAAATTATATTCTTCACCTTTCAGGAATCTAATAGAACCCCTTGAGGTGTGTAATATTTCCCATTACTGCAGGAGTTCAAACAACTTTTTTTTAATGCACATTTATTGTAACACAGTACTTGTAGTTTGGATCCTACAGACTTCAAGTGGTGATTGCTGCATGGATCAATTTATAACAGATGAATGAGAAGACATGGAAAATAGTTTGTGTGAAATATTGATAAGGGTGGAATGTTCTAGTTTTGTCTAACCTTGGCTGGACGCTGAATCCTCGTGGTATTTGTGTATCTGTCGTGTTCCACTGGAACTTAAATCACTTAAAACAGACCCAAAATGGGTCAGCCAATCATGTTGCAGTATTAAGGTTTTAGACTGGGCATATAGCTGTGATGAAAGTAAGAGCTGCCAAGCCCACAGCCAAACTACGTAAATCAAACATGACAGCGCAGGAGGACATAGCTGCTGCTGTCACGCCTGTTTTCTCAGAATTCAAGATATCATTTTTCGAAAGAGAAAGTAAAAACAAGTAAAAGCTTAAATTATTGTGGATTCTCATGGTGTTTCCTGCTGTTTAATTTATTACACACACACACACACACTTTCCCAAACAGATTCAATCCAAGCAGTCCCAGATTAATAGTAGTATAGATTAATTAATAGTGGATTAGATTATCAAACTGGCTTTCCAGGTTTTTTTCTATCAGGATTGAACAATATTTTTGTTTCCATACTTTCCTGATTACAACTTATTCAAACACATGTTTCTAATTTTTATGGATGAGTCATGTGAACAATAATCATGTCATGCTTTCTATTCTGAGACTCTCCCAAAGCGTCAAGCTTCTCAGGGTTTCCTGGAGGCAGAGTACAACATAAACTATCTTAAAAAGGTTCATTACTGACTAAAAGTTTAAAACTAATATTCTATCTTATGTACAGTTTTGTTTTTTCAGACATTTCACCTGTTTAATCAGACTTTGCTAATCGTATTAATGATCGTATTAAATATTATTTCTTGTTTTAAAGGTCTGGTTGTCATGAAGGTTCAAAGCTTAACATGAGAGGGAAAATGAGACAACTCATTTTGATACATTTTGACATTCAAAGGGATTGCAACAGCGTCACACCCCTTATTCCATCCAAATGAAAACTCACTTTCAAAAAAATCTGGAACTTAGCGGAAGGAAAAAAACAAATCCTCCCCCAATACGTCCCACATTCCTCAGCAAATCACACACAAACTGAGCAGAGAGTGAAAGGGAGAAAAAGGTAAGCAGTGGGAGGGGAGAGAGAAGGAGAACTGAGCTGAAAGATTTGCTTCAGGGTAACTCTCCCAGTGTTGATTCAGCTCCTACCCAGAGCTTTACCACAGCACAGGTTAAAAACTGAAAGGAAAGAGTCAGACTACATGGTGAGTAGTATCTCATATATGTCATAATATGTCTCTAGTGGTACAATTATATTTTAACATGGTGTAGAAACACCTAATTTAGCCAAAATTTTTGAAAATATCCCGCTCCTAGGAAAGTTTTGATGCCTGTGGCTTTGATTTTTCCCTTTTGGGATCTTTGTCTGTAATCATCAGAAAAGAACAGCATCAGAAACTCTCTGGGGTGAGAGTTTCCAACAAACTAGATTATAAATAGCTTTGTTTTTATCTGTTGTATTTAGTTTTGTCAAAGCAGTGTATAGCTGCATGTAAAACATTTTCAAAAATTGTGTCGTTCATAGCATAGGTGTGAAGTTTATTAACAGTTGGAGTTTTATTCATGTGTGCTGACTGCAGAGAACCCATGTGACCCATGTGCTGCTTTTTCACATTTAAAAATACCAATATGATCAATTTCATCCGGCATATAAAAATGCTATTTTTGGCACGTCATCTCTAAAACATATCAGTATCAATCCTTTACATTATCTGGTAGGGTTTGTTTAAATAAACTCCATGTGATGATGAACAGGTTTTTGAATGGACATGGCATTAGAATATCGGGCAATTTTTTAACTTCAGGTTCTGCTGAGGAATCTTGCAAAAGTAACAGCAGTCAGGAACATATTGAATGAAATATAACTTTAATTACTCCAGAATTCACAATATTTATCCAGTAATAAACTAAATAATATCATGCAGTCAAATAAAGATGATAATAACAGTTAAACTTATGCACTTTTATTTAGACTTTAAGAAACTTAAATTTTGTCTGATTGCAATAAACCAGCTAGGGGCAATTTATGGTTAAAAATACAACAATGAAAGGCTGTCAATTTATTGACTAATTACTTGATTTTTATTTTTTATTGATTATTTTTGATTGATTTTTATTTATCTCTTCAGTTAGAATAGACACATTTGGTACTGACCTATTTTTGTTTATTAACAAAGTGCTCACTACAAACACTCCCATGTGCTTCACGGCTCATCTTGAGTAATTTGGGGTTAAATGTTCTGTTGCTCAATCTTGCTTCAATCTTGCCAACTCCCTGAAAGATAAATAAGGATAAATCTTGGCCAGGTATTGTCTTCCAATTAACTGGGATGTTTGTTTGTTTTGTTTTTTCTTTGTTTTTTTTCGACAGAAGGGATTTTACAAATGTTTAACTTGAACATGTATTTAGATGCATACTTTTGGTTCCAAAGAGTGGACAGTTCCTTTTTTCAGGGGACAGTTGGCAACACTGGGAAGCAGAGATGCTTGCTGTTTTCACTTCACTTATCTTAATCTAATCTGCTAATTCTTGGAATCTGCTGTTTTTTCTAAACATTATACAGTACTTTCTTTTTAAAGAATAAACATTATTTTGGTGGGTGGTTGGTCAGAGCTGATTTTATTCCAAATTTGATGTGATCTGCCATTTTGCAATTTTTTTGGTCTGTTAGTTTTCACCTTGTGTTTTCAGTTAGGCTTGGATTTATGTCATTCTGTTTTTACTGTTACGGGTTATCTTTTTTGAATTACTTCTTAGTCTTGCTATTCTGGTTTGGTTTTTGTCATACATTGTTTAAAATTATCTTTAGGTTATATTTATCAGCTACTCTCCATTGCCCCCTAAAGTCCCCTGCCTTCCCATTGGTTTTCTTCTAGTTCTTTCTCTGCACAACTGTTCCCACTAAGATAATTACTCCAGTGTTTGTCCTGTTAGTGTCCTCCTCAGTGTATATATATACTTTTCCTCTGCAGTTTGTCTTTAGCAATACTTTTAAAGCTTTCTGAAGGTTCTTTCATTTGAAATTAGGACCTATCTACCAACACTTTCTGTTTTTCCTTTATTTTTGTTGCGCTCATAACATTAACCTATAAACCATTAACACATAAAATCTACATAAAGTCAAATACCAGACATTGCTTTGTGCATTCTCCCTGAGCGACATGCATATATTATGCTTTTGCAACAACCAGGCAGTTCTGAGAAAGCTATCAGCCTTCCCAGAACTGCTTATTGGAGGGTCAGCAAGGATCTAAACTAAGACCTCAAATAATTTCCTGGTTGGTCTAATCATGCCATCCCCCACTTCTGGCATGTAACTTTTTATAAAGCAACTAGGCAAATGTCACAGAAGTGGTTTCCAAACTTATTTTCTTACAAAACCATGGACCAACACTTAAAGATGTTGTTTTAGCCTATAGTCATAAAAAAATGGTTATGACACAGATAAATTTAATAAAGTTTCAATCTAAACCTATTTAGTTATATATATATATATATATATATATATATATATATATATATATATATATATTTATATACCACTGGTTCACATAACAATAATTTCAAAACGTTACAAAGACGTAAATAGAGATCATACAGACAGATTGGTTAAATGTTTTCTATCTAAGGGAAACCAGCTTATATCACTTTGAGAGACTTGCAGAATTTAGTCCTCCTGGATAAGCATCTAGTGACAGTTGTTTTGCTGCAGTCTCTCATACTGTATGGTGCATGCATGCGGCAACAGTGGAGAGTAAAAAGTTTTTAACAACAACAAGCCTCCAGCAGAAGCAGTGTGTGTTAATGTCCATCTGTAAAGGTCGACTGATGGGTCAAGAAAACAGAATAATTGCTTTGACCAATAAACTCTTTTATTGCTAGATGAAAGGTAACTATAAATTAGCTCCATTGGTGGCTGTGTCTAGGAAAGAAAGAGCTACAAGGGCAAATACAGTCAGTTTACGATAAAAGCTGAGCTCATAGCGCCTGTCTAAAAGAGAAATAGAACCAAGCAGTGAAAAACACGCTGAACTCTTTCATCTATAATGGAAGTGCAGCAGCCCAGCCAATGCCTCCCTCCAGGATGGTGCCATTCAAAAGAACTGACTAAACAGGCAGCTTATTTTTCTAACTTCAATCCTAAGAAGGTAACATCAGTCTATGAAACAGAAAAACCAAGACTTGTTTAAATCCCAAATTTTCTCATTTTCTTGCGCCTAAACAATTATAATCCTAAGGTAATAGATATTCTAAAAAAGTTAATGCCCATGATGTTTTTTAAAGAAGTCACACACATAAATAAATAATGCTTTTCTTTTAAGTTGCTTTTAAGTGTTGACTTTGTAGAGAACATTAAATTAAAGAAAACTTAAGGTCCTAGCGAGTTGATTTCCACACAGAAGCACAAACAATGATCCATGCATAAAGTGTCTATGTTAATGTTGTAAACCTGAACCTAAATGTTTTCTATTATTTTTCATAATCTATTTATTTACTTAAAATGTTGCTGTGAAAGTTGTGACTGTCCAAAAACTAAACCCAACAATATATTGGTTACTAAATAAAGATTTCTTGGGGGGGGCTTTTTTTTGCTACAATGTAAGCCAAGGTGTGAAAAGCAGCTTTTGGAGTGGCAATTCTCATGAAAGGTTTGCTATCTGCCACAACAAGGAGCCAGACTGTGCAGCAGCAATTACTGGGAGAAATATTAGGTACACATGCCAAATCGTGTAATGGAAAGTATTGCAGAATGTAATGAGAGTGATTGTTTTTGCCATGGCCATGAGGCAGTGAGAAATAAAATTTAGGAACAAAACTGTTTTGGATGGTTGCACAGAGTAATACCAACGCTTTTCAGTAAGAGGTAATGAAACTGAATTATTTACTGGAATGCCAGACACTAGTGCAGCAGTGTTTCTAATACTAGCAACTTTCACAGTGTCTTTCAATAGCAGCTATTTCCTTTGATATTTTGACGCACCTTCATATTCACGAACTGTACAACATGTGTTGTGTATGTCACTGGGATCCTGTATAACAGACAAACACAAAGTACTGCAAACAATTGGAAAATAATTGAGTTTGAATATTGCACACTTAAATTTGTACGATGTGGTGTTGATACATATTTACGCCTCTGAAACCTGAAACCTCTGAAAGTAACATTCGGTGAAACCAGCAGCCTTGGGAGGTCACTGAATCAGAGACACTAATCTAATCTCTCACTGAGTGTTAATTTACTTTTCTAAAAATAGAAATATTAGGCACAGCTGCAAATCCACAAAGACATGGCTGTCCATCTATACAGGCAGCTCAAGAAGAGCATTAAAGGCAAAAAACGAATCCAACATTTTTTGGATGAGTAGCAAGAAGAAGTGGTGAAAGAAGGCCATAAAAAAAAAACATCCTGTTAAAAGTTTGACACAAGCCATATATGGGACACAACAACTCTGGAGGACAGTGCTATGGTCACATGAGACCATTTGCTGAATTTGCTGGCCTGCATGAAAAGAGCTGTGTTTACTGGAAAACTAACACTCCAAATCATCCTGTGCATACAAACTAATGGTATATTAGTGGAGGCAATATGGAGGCTTTCTTTGCTGTAAGTATGCAAAGGATGTTTTAAGATAATAAGAAGATGGATAATCTAGCAGAACGCATGGCCATCCTATAGGAAGAGCAGTTAGGGGCTTAAAAAGACTCTAACTGCAAGACATTGACTCCTAAAAGGAAGCCAGGGCTGCAATGAAATGGATCAGATGAAAGCTTATTAAACATGAACATTTTAAATCCAGACCTAAATCAAATCTGTTGAAAGATTTCAACACTGCTGTTTAAAGAGGCCATCTACAGTATGACCGAACCCAAACTTCCAAAGTATTATTAATGTGATCACATCAAAATATAAGTGTCTCCTTAGCCCTCAGGAGGCTAAATATAAATCATCCTACGTTTCTTCGTTTTTCTTTTTCATTCAGGCCAAAAAAAAAAAAAAAGAGCTGACTTGGTATATGGCAGGAAGAACCACAGTATATAAACATATTGAGCCTCAGTTGCTGTACAGGATGAACATCATTCCCTAAAAGCTCTGCACTCTAGTGTCTACCGGTTCTACGTAAGTGCAGCTGTGTTTGTGGATAGCATGTAAACATTGAGTCTCATTAAACCAGGATAAAAAACACTAGTGACACAAGTCTGTTG